TGTATATGTAGAGTAGATTTTTATGGAAAGCGGGGCTCTTTGATTTTCAGAAAAATGGTGCAGACCGAAATTTGGCCATAGTCTGGAATTTTTCAGTTACTGCTTGCGACAGAGTTGATATTTTTGGTATTCCATTAGGAGGGGATTGGGTATTAAGGTGATGGAATGCAAACAATTGTCAATATTAGCATATTTATGCATTTTTGTTTCACCCTTCGTGTAAAGATCTTGCATCTCTCATCTGTTAGACTGCATAATGAAGGGCCTGGAATCAGAATTTTTTGGCTGATTCTAGACATTTTTCACATTGAAATTGACATTTATGCAGATCCAAATGCATGTGTTGGGATACGTCCAATTGAACACCTGGCAAAGCGGATGACACAAAATATATAAAAAAGCAAAAAAAGAAAAAAAAATGAATTTGTCTTGCGCTCTGAAGTCTGAATTTGGTTTTGGTCTGCCATTTTGATGGGATATCTTAAGGCTGTTCAAATTGTCACAGGCCACTGAATGAATAGCTTGGACTTGGCCATGAATTATGAGGTCTCCCCCTCTTTGTTACATGAATAATGAATCCTCCCCCACTTTAGCATTATAACCTAGACATGAATAATTAATCCTCCCCCTCTTCTTTACTAATGTGGCCTGATTTTTCGCTGGAGTGACGTACATGGTGTAAAATAGGGATTCTTTGAGGTGGCCTGGTCTGTCATATTTATTGAGAGATGCAAGCTGGCCGGCAAAATTCAGTTTATTCCCTACTAAATTCTTTTATTAGCTCACCTGAGCCGAAGGCTCAAGTGAGCTTTTCTGATCAAATTTTGTCCGGCGTCCGTCTGTCCGTCTGTCTGTCTGTCTGTCTGTAAACTTTTCACATTTTCGACTTCTTCTCAAGAACCGCTGGGCCAATTTCGACCAAACTTGCCACAAAGTATCCTTGGGTGAAGGGGATTCAAGTTTGTTCAAATAAAGGGCCACGTCCTCATTCAAGGGGAGATAATTGAGAATTAGTGAAAAATTGGTGGTATGTTTTAAAAATCTTCTCCTCAAGAACCACTGTGCCAGGAAAGATGAAACTTATGGGGAAACATCCTCAGGTAGTGTAGATTTAAGTTTGTTCAAATCATATCCCCCGGAGGTAGGGCGGGGCCACAATGGCCGACCAAAGTTTTACATAGAAATATATAGGAAAATTCTTTAAAAATCTTATTCTCAAGAACAGCAAAGCCATAATTGCTCATATTTATATGGAAGCATCCCCAGGTAGTGTAGATTCAAGTTTGTTCAAATCATGACCCCCGGGGGTAGGGCGGGGCCACAATGGCCGACCAAAGTTTTACATTGAAATATGTAGGAAAATTCTTTAGAAGTCTTCTTCTCAAGAACAGCAGAGCCATAATTGCTCATATTTATATGGAAGCATCCCCAGGTAGTGTAGATTCAAGTTTGTTCAAATCGTGACCCCCGGGGGTAGGGCGGGGCCACAATGGCCGACCAAAGTTTTATATAGAAATATATAGGAAAACTCTTTAAAAATCTTCTTCTCAAGAATAGCAAAGCCATAATTGCTCATACTTATATGGATGCATCCTCAAGTAGTGCAGATTCAAGTTGTTCAAATCCTGACCCCCGGGGGTAGGGCGGGGCCGCAATGGCCGACCAAAGTTTTATATAGAAATATATAGGAAAACTCTTTAAAAATCTTCTTCTCAAGAACAGCAGAGCCGTAATTGCTCATATTTATATGGAAGCATCCCCAGGTAGTGTAGATTCAAGTTTGTTCAAATCGTGACCCCCGGGGGTAGGGTGGGGCCACAATGGCCGACCAAAGTTTTACATTGAAATATGTAGGAAAATTCTTTAGAAGTCTTCTTCTCAAGAACAGCAGAGCCATAATTGCTCATATTTATATGGAAGCATCCCCAGGTAGTGTAGATTCAAATTTGTTCAAATCGTGACCCCCGGGGGTAGGGCGGGGCCACAATGGCCAACCAAAGTTTTATATAGAAATATATATATGAAAACTCTTTAAAAATCTTCTTTTCAAGAATAGCAAAGCCATAATTGCTCATACTTATATGGATGCATCCTCAGGTAGTTTAGATTCAAGTTTGTTCAAATCATGACCCCCGGGGGTAGGGCGGGGCCACAATGGCCGACCAAAGTTTTATATAGAAATATATAGGAAAACACTTTAAAAATCTTCTTCTCAAGAATAGCAAAGCCATAATTGCTGATATTTATATGGATGCATCCTCAGGTAGTGTAGATTCAAGTTTGTTCAAATCATGACCCCCGGGGGTAGGGCGGGGCCAAACTTTTGGATTTATACTTTTCAATAGTAAACCAATTACTACTTTTTCCTAGCCACAATGCTCGGGTGAGCAATGTGGCCCATGGGCCTCTTGTCGACATTTACTGTCCATCCACTGTGGTCTCTTTTTTTTCTTGGAGGGAGGGGGGGCTGCATCACTATCAGTTATGAGTAACATTTAAATAGATGTATGCTAAACTTTTTTGCACAATAGGGATGAATAATGCCAATTATAATGGTCCCTGGTACTCAATGTGGTGTTAAGGACACTTAGTTCAACTGAATTTTACATTGTCATCATCTTCATTGCAGACCTTTCGTCTCTTCTTTAGCTCTTAGACTAAAGGTCAAAGACACGGATAAAGTATTTATTGTTTGTCTATCTGTTCTTTGCTGTTGCTCTAAGTCCTACTCTCTTTCAGAAATATTTGATTTCGGTAAAGCCTTTATATAAAGCATATGTGCAAAAAGTCTTCATGCATGCATGTTGATCAATAATTCTGTATATCAGATTTTGATTTTGACTGAGTTGAAATTGTAAACCAGTAGAGCCACAATCTCATCAGAGATTTCCGGTTTTGCAGCCCCTGCAGTAGGATCAAGTGTGTAGGGCAGATCGATGCATGGGCAAAATCTTAATTCTGCACTCTTAGTATGCATGTAATGAATTTGAAGAAGTTTGTTTTGTAATGAAAAGCATAAATTTCTGTTCAGGGTTAATTGTCCATTATTATAGGAACTTTACCTGATGCATAAATCAATGGAAGAATTTCAGTGAAAGTAATCTAATTAATCAAGGTTTAGTTTGTACCAAATATTATGAATTATGAACTAATTTATAGATGCATTATTTTACAGTATTTCAACATACCATATATTATGGTCACCTACGGTGTCATGATTTTTTATTATTTGTCGAGTCTCATTAAATTCAACAATGAAAAACATCTAGTTTTTTTGTAATCCAGATTTTATTTTGAACTACCTTTCATTTTGCTGTCAAATGTGTCATTAATTATTTTTTGGCAATGTAAAGTATTCAGTTTTCTGCAATTCTATAATTTCTTGCATAAGATGCTATCAGAGATTAAATTATTTACTTGTTTAAAAAGCGCTTTAGGGATGCTAAATGCCATGGTTATGTATTTATAAATGTTTTATTAGGTGTAAAACTGATAATGGGAGGTATTAGAATTCATCATCAGGGTGCTAACCAAAAAGGCCCCAAGAGCTAGGAAAATACATGCATATTATCAGGTTTCTTTTATTGGGTTATGATTATTGTGTGTGGGGTGAAAATTTGGATAGAGGCGACATATACAAGAAAAGATGGTATATTATTTTCTTATAAGAGGCTATAGACTGGGGCTTTTTGTATATATACACCATTTATGGATTAAATGAAGATCAAATGAAGTTGTTTTGAAGTGGTCATTTAAATTGGGGTGCATGCAGTGTAAAGAGCTTTTGAAATGACAATAACTGGTCATTTACAAGGACGCGAGATTGCAAGTAGCTGTGCTCTGTATTATATTGGAGAGATGCACCAGCTGCACTTTTGACTGCAGCTTTGCCGCATGATTTTTTTTTCCTCAAATACCTTTTTTAATGATTTAAAAAAAAAAATGTATGGCACACTAGTTGTATGTGGCATTACCATTTTGCCCACTCAGGCTGTGAATTTAATTGATGGCAAAATGTAATTGTTGTCATCAGTTCATAGACATATGAAGTACTTCTTTTTTGCAGATTTGAGCTTTTCATAAGTGTTTAATGGACAGAAAAGTGTATAGAATAAAATTAGAGCAATGACCAAAGAATTTCAGATTAAATTGGGTCTATACTCCTGGATATACTTAGGCTAATACATTAAAGAATTGTTATCGCTGTTTTATCAAGAATTAGATAAGATTATCTATCATTGAATGATATTTTTCCCATTCATAAAATATGTTTTATCATGAACATTTTGGAAAATCAGAATTTTCTAAATGTCATATTTATTGACATGTATGATGCATTTATGGGGAGAATATAAAATGTTTATTTTAAGGAAACATAATTTCCAATTTTGTGAGTGCAGATTGACATATCTGTTTTGTGGTGTATTCAGTAATTTATTTGGAAGATTCTTGTAATATTAACCCAGTGTCTTGTGGAGATTTAGAAAGCGTATCTAAGTATAGGAGAATTGTATCCCTCATCAAATACTCCAAGTGTAAAGGCTCCCATCTCGTTCTACACTCGAGTTACTTTTTATCGATGGTGTGAAGTGTTTGTATAAGGCTTATCAATACCAGGTATAGCCCTTTATACAAATGTAACTTTGGTCTAGGTGACCTAAATAACGACTCAGGTGTCGGGGTAGAGTCCTTGTCTGGTCCAAATACTTTGCAACCAAGTTATTGTTCTATTAAGAGGTGAAAAAAAGAGATTTCCTTCCCGGGGCTTCATTTAAACTTTTTTTTCATGTTCAAGGAGATTCAACTTATGAATTACTTTTGCTGTGCACTCAAGCGAAGCAGTTTGTGAAAACGCAAAGCCCATTAATCCAATCAAATCTACCTGTCAGATTTTGGTGAGGTCAGAGGTCAGGCCCTCAACCAATGACTGTGAAGCTTAGGTGTACTAGAGCGACACTGTGATACTTCAGTCATACAAACATATATATATCCTGTGCGATTACTCACCATTCAGATTAAACAACTGTCTGCTTGCGCTTCACATGGGCTCTTATTTACCCCCACACGAAAAAAGATATTTATAAACAAATTCAAGCATGCCGTCTGCAGTCAAGTTGTGCAACTGTTTTCTATGTTAGAAACAGCCACTGGCACTGTTGTTTTTTTTTTCCTGTGAGAAATCTCTAAAAGTGCAGACACACCTGTTTTTTTCTTCGGAGAGTGTTTTTTAGTGTATTTTTTTTCTCTTCTGTCGAACAAGCACACCTGTTGTGGATCCATAGTATAATTAGTGCACTGGTGACTGGACAACTATCTCCATTGTTAACTGCATGATAATTTCTGATTTTGGAAAGGATTTTTTCACAATATTGGGCTGTGTTATTGACTGATGTTTAATGTGTGATCGATTTCCCCCCTTTGGGACAAACCCTATTATGCCAATGCTCGGTGAACCTTCTCTCGGATTTCCTGACCCCCTGAGGGGGAGTCTCCTGGGACTGCCACCCTATGGCCACCCAGGATTTGGACTGAGTATGGGCCCCATGGTCCCTGTGCCCCTCTGGAGGCCTGTAGCCACCCACCCCTCAGCTCTCATGTGTAACAGTATTGGATGCCCCTGCAATAGATCCTCAGTGGCAATGAGTGAACTTTTGGACATGTATAGCAAGAGTTCTCCCCCTTCTTCAGACCCTTGGAGGCCATGGTACCCCAAACGCTCAGGTAATCAAGAAATTTTAAGTTTTGAGATGTGAGAAGATTTTTTTTTCTGCAGGTGAGCTGGCTGATATTGCAGAGAGCATGTGACATTTTATTGAGGGTGCTCTCTGTAGTTGGGCTCTTGAGGGTTGCCTTGTTGTAGTTCAGTTTTTACCCGAGACAGCTATACCATGGAAGGGGGCTTGGAATCTAAGATTTCATGCCAATTGTCTTTCTATGACTCAGTCTTGCAAATCAAATAATATTCACATTCATTTGAAATGCTTGTGCATAACTTTGATTCTGTCTACAGGTATTTGTTTTAAAAATATTTATTATTAGAAATCACTTTGAGATTTTGATGAGAGTGAGTAGTGTGTAGACTTGCACTTCATTGTCATTTTATGGATGGGGTTAATTTTAGAAACCTTAATGGTCCTAATTTGAGACATTATGTCATTAAAACAGATCATGTTTGTATATAACCTTAAAATATAACCAAAATGGGACACACCCTCACATATGTTAGTAATAATGTTGGGTTAATTTCTTATGATCTCTATAACATTAATTAAAAAATCATAATACTGACTCGTGAAGTTGTTAATATTTAATAATTTTTAACTAATGATAATTCTCGCCCAATAAAATTTTCAAGGGACATGCCTTTGATTGTTTAGGGTGTATAATAAACAAAAGCAGTTTATAGACTTCCTTACTGCATGGGTTTTATAACTTTTTTGAAAGTGGGTTTTCAGAGGGAAAATGAAAACTGACATTTTATGCTTCTTCTAAGACCAAAGCCCTGAGTGGAAGCAATTCTTCTGGAAATGACAAATGACGGGTTAGGTGTATAATTGTCAGTTACTAAAAATAGCCCATTCATAAAAATCTTAATAGGCCTAATTTGGCTCTAACTTACTAAAAGGTACCTTCTTTTCTTTCATAGAATTAAAATTAACAATTATTAATAAGTGTATTTTAAATCAATTAAAAATACATTTGTGGCTTAAAAATCTTTTGGTTAATCAAATATTGTCCTGCAGTGAGATCCGTAATTGTTCAAGGAGCTACAAATGTGCAGGCAATTAAAACGGATTAATTTATTGACAGATATGTTCACCACTTGTCACCATGAATATGTCAATGAATTGAAAACACAATTTGAAAATTTGCATATTTAATTGCAATTTATTTATTTACCCTCGTAGCCCAAAGGATAGGTTTGTAAAGTACACTTACACAGGTGGCATTGATGATTAAATTCACGTAATTTTGCAGTTGCACAGATTAGAAAAAAGGCTACCTGCAGGCAAAAGTGAACCCATTTCACTATTTTTTTTTTCTCAAGCCATTGTAGAAAATAACATGCTTACATACTCTTGATAGTTATACAAATTTACTTCATAATTTTTTGTCAAAAATGTAATATTACTGAATCTTTTGTAGCATTCTTATTGCCATGTTGATATATTTTGATAATTTCACTCTCTTTATTGCACGGACTTTTGAGTAAGTCTCAAAACAGGTAATTTATTTAATAATTAATAATATTATATAATTTCATTTTACCCCCTCTCTCTCTTTAAAATCACAACTGTATTGAATGTTTTATTTGAGGTATTCTTTAATTTTTATAATGATCACAAAGCAATCTTATTGTTGAAAGAACATTGGTTATAATTCTTATAATCATTGACATGGCCATTGTGCATCTCAACTATTTTTAATCATAAAAGGGAGATAATTGTAATTCTAAAAAATCATTAAGGGGAGATAAATGAGAGAATTGGCTTAATCAGTTAATGCTAGCCCTGTTGCTTCCTGGACAACTCTGTTTTTGATTCCCCTTCAAGTTGGTTATTGCTGTTTGAACATGGATTTTAAAGTTTCTTTATTTGTCACCAAGAGATGATGAGCTGTTTAGGGAATGAACAGACAAATCGTTTCCTGTCAACTCTAGAATTATGAAGATGCTTTCCGTTCATCAAGTGCTTCAATTGGTGGGAAAATCTCATCATTTTCATAAAATTGATATTTTGTCAGAAGTTGTCTTCTAAGGAAAACCAGCATAGATCATATAAGAGAGTTAATCATAAAAAAGTTGTTGCAAAAAAAAAGAAAAAGAAATGAAAATTCTCCTGGATCAGGATATAGTAATTTATGTATAATTACTGAAGTGTATGGACAATTCAGGTCAACAGATGTGCCAGGCCCATTTCCTTCGATCTTGCAGTCACCTGTCACAAATTTACACTTCGCTTCAGGTGTTAAAAAAGGCCTAAAAAAGCACTTCATTTTGATTCTCAAACTTTTATCAGAGTTATTAGCATTACAATTGGTTTTTTCAGCTATTTCAATCAAAAAAGGTAAAAAAAAAAAATTTCAAAAATGATATGGGAAAGAAATTTTCACAGGGTTGTTTGACTTGTGAAACCAGTATTTTTAACCATACTCTTAAAAGTTTTTGCCTACTAAAGGTACGCGTTTTTGTGAATTGTGAACTGAGGGATCACTGGCTATGATTTGTCGGTGATTAGTGTCGTGAATGATCGGGTGTCACAGATTTACCTAGGCTTACCTGGGAACAGGTATTTCTTTATTTACCTAGCCGATATTCATTCACAGACTCGAGGGCCCATTCATAAAACTTTTATCTACAATATTTTTCCGTGATATATACGCACAATATTCAATGTCGCTGGCGCGGCAAACATGAAAGAGATTTATTAATGCGCTGCAAGGCCGCTCTTCGGCATTTGATCTGTGGGGATCTTCTTTCTCAATGTTTGCACAGTTTCTTTTTTTCTTTCTTTCTGGAGTGTGCTGTAAGAGACATTTGAAATCAGAGAAGAGTTCTTCTCTGTCAGTAAAATACAATAAAATATGAGTCAGACTTCATAAAAATCGGTTTGGCTCTGACATATAGTTCTATACCCCTGCAAACTGAATGGAACAATTGCAAGATGAACCAGGGACCTTATTCACAAAGCCTCCGTAATTTCCGCAGTCGCGGAGCGTTTACGGAAGGATTGCGGAAACTTTCCGGAAAGATTACGGATGGTTTACGGCGTATTCACGAAGCTCCCGTAAACTTTGCGAAATTTACGGAAAGTTTTCGCAAGTGAAACACGCTGAACGGGCACCTGCATTGAACGAAAAAGAGTTAAGAACATATCAAAATTTTAATAGTTTGAGCGTGTTTTGTTCATTTTTTTAATCAAAATGTGTTGCATTGTCGAAATAAAAAAAAATGAAATGAGAACAAAATAGAAACAAAATGAGTAGATCTAATAACTTTCTAAGAAAAAAAAAGAATAAGACAGTATTTTATCACGTCTATATATTTTTATATTAAACAAATATAAAGCTTTTTAAGGTTATTTACAACTATTAAAATCAAGATAAATCATATTGTTGTGATTATTAGTTAGTGAATGCGTAGTCGGGGGGAGGGGGGTTATTTTTTTAAATGTTCATGATTGAAAATGGTAATCTTTTATTTAATAAATGAATAAACAGCAATTTACAAATAATGAATAAATAATTAACGTTTTCGGCGTAACATAATATTATATTTGTACATAGATTTATATAGATTCTCTTGATACCTCTTTTGTCCCGTGAACCTATTGTGACGTCATGACTAAGAGAATGACATCATTGAAATTCTGACAATTAACGCTGAAATTATGGAAGATAGAAAAAAGAAACCGCGCGCTTTAGCGAAAAAGAACTTGAAATATTAGTTCAAGGAGTTAAAGAACGCTCAGATGTCATCAACTCAAAATTCAGTGACATGATCAACAATACAAGGAAAAAGCAAGCGTGGAAGGAAATTTTGGAATCTGTAAATGCTGTCTCATTCTCAAAAAGAACTGTCGAAGAAATTAAGAAGAAGTGGGATGATGTGAAGAGGGGTACAAAGAAGAGAGCTTCTGCCGTCCAGAAAGAACGTTGTAAGACGGGGAGTGGAAAACTGGAGATTATACCTTTAAGCCCAATGGAAGAAGATATTGTGTCTGTAATGGGAGAGGAGAGAATTTTTGGATTCAGCTCGTATGTAGACACCATGATTCCACCTGTAAGTCAGCCTAATTTCATTCCGTCATTCATTTGCTTTAATCTAAAACAACATGTTTGTTTCAAGACTTTCAACAATTTTGAACGATGTTCACATAAAAAGCCACTAAATTTCAATATCTGCATATACACACATACAATCATGTATATTATACAGTTTTAAAAAATAAAGACTTTTTTTTCAACTTGCACATAGTCCTAAAAGTTTTTAAATTCATTTTGATTTTTTTAAGGTGTGTATGTGTTGGGGGGGGGGGCGGTTACATGTCAATAAAGGAAAATATATAATACTGGGGATGCTTACAGGTTACATAACCTATATAGGTTACACGAATTATCGTCTATAATCTCTTTATTACTAGTAATTATAATAAGTCAGAATTTGAGTGTATATCTGTGTTTTAATTTTTTCTTTGCGTTTTCTAATGTACAAGACATGTACTAGTAACTTCCCCCGTCATACAGAGGGCGTGATTTCTACATTGATCCTTGTTTCCGCTTTTTAAAAAAAATATGCAGCTACTGACGGTTAATTTATGTAACTTCATTCTAAGATGATACTGTAAATAAATATAATGGTATAGTATAATAGTAGGATAGTATGCCCTTAAAACTTCTGTAGAAACATGAGTTAGAATTAAATCTTCATTTAAAAAAAATGCAGATTATAAATATTGATCTTATTATGAATTATTTCCCACCTATAAAATATGTATATATATAATTTTTTTATGACATGAGTTATTAGCAAACCAGAAAATTTCAAGTTTATCATGTATCAAATTCCACTAAGACACCAAGCAAAGCTGTTTCTGGAGAGAGTCCACGACAAGACATACAAGAGGAACAGACGACTGCTGAAACAGGTATCAGTGAAGGAGGCATCAGTGAAAAAGCACCTGGATCTGCTTTCTGTGTGAAGAAAATGAAAAGGCGGCCTT